CTATTGGAGGAAGCATATACCTGGGTTCTCAGGGATTGCTTGTCCCTTATATGACCTGCCTTATATGAGTCCACTCAGGGAAAACAGACCTTTATTATGAGCGTTGGTCTCATGGATGGCCAATGTTTATCAGGATAAGTGTCTGTAGAACAGACACCCGTCTATCCTGAGAAATGTGTGATTAAAATCAAAATAGTGGAAGAAACATTTCTTTTGGTTTTCTCTCAAGGCTTGTATGACCCTGGATGAAAACCACGGAGGACAACACCAGATGCCCAACTTTTGAAGTTATTTTTGAAGGTCGCTTATGCAACTGGAGTTGTTTTATTCAACAGTATAAAAGCTGGTCCTGCTTGCAGCAAATTTGGGAAGCCTATTGTAATGTGTCTGGCTGAGATGATTTTCCCATAGAAGCCCTCATGATGCAGTGCTTTTGTGTTGGGAGTTAGAAGGGTGTTGATAACACCCATGTTATGACTATCACTGAGCAGTGCTTGCACAGCACCAAGGCTCTTTCTAACATTCCCCCCACAGTGGGATGGGGTGGGCAGGAGCTTGGGAGGGGACATAAGCAGGACAGCTGACCTGAACTGACCAAAGGGATATTCCATACCTTATGATGTCAGCCCAACTATAAAGCTAGTAGAGAGGAGGAAAGGGCAGCTACTCCTTTGTCCTCCAGAGCAACTGCTACATGTTTTGGAGCCCTGCTTCCCAGGAAGGGGCCAGACATCACCTGTTGATGGGATGTAGAGAATAAATCTTTGGGTTTTTTTTCTCACTTCCACGCGCAGCATTGCTTGGCTTTGCTTTTCATTAAACTGCCTTTGTTTCACCCACAAGGGTTTTCTCTTCATCTTATTTTCCTTTCCCCTTTTGCTCTGTAGAGGAGGGAGAAGAAAGAGGGAGGGTGATAGAGTGACTTAGTGGGCACCTGGTGCTCAGCCAGGGTTAACCCAGCACACCTACCTATGGGTGGACGCACTGTGTAGGTTTTTCCCCATTATCTGAATTTCACTCCGTAATTCTTCGCTGCAGCCATATTTCCCAGCAATGGCAGGACAGCACAAGGAACTGGACAGGACAAGAGAAACAAAGAAGAGGCTGCACAATCCCCCCTCTAGTGGCTGTTTCACACAGGACAGACATCTGATTTCATCCTCAAACATGAAGATGAAACATGCTTTGGCAATTATTTCCAAAAAAAGCAGTTAATCCTTTCATACATTTGGAATAATTAAGCAGCTCTCAAACTATTGATCAGCTCCCTTTTCTCTCCCTACACTTCTTTCAGAAATAGCTTGTGGATGCTCATGAAAATTATTTATAAATCTACAAGTCTATCCCTAACCTCAATCTCAATTTAATGCTCACTTTTAGTTTTGTATCCAGACAAACCTCACAGGTTTTTGTTAATTCCCAATTTTCCAATTTGCACTGCCTAGACCAAACTGCTATAGCTGATTAGTGTCATTAGGCATAAATTCAAGCATTCATCCTATGAGGAAATAGCTGGATGGAAAGTGCATTTTATTAAAAGCAAGTGCACTTATATGTTTGCTTAATAACAGGATGAAGTAGGTGGGTAGAAAGTATGTACAGTTGGAGGTTCCGCATTGATCCCCAGCCAAGGGTCTTGCGGTCAGAAAAAGGGAACTTATATGACATAAAGTGCTTATCGCACATGTGGCAAAAGAAGATTAAGAAAGGGCAAGCAAAATCCAGAGGATGAAGACTACAAGCCTTCCTCCTCATAACCCCCAAAGCCCCCTAGAGGATTAAACGGCACCTGTGCACTTCTGGATTATGCAATGCTGCATCAGCCGAGTTGGTGGGACTCATTCGGGGAAGTCAATGAATATGTATATGCTTTTCACAGAAACTGTGGAGCTATGCAAATGTAAATACCCATAGTTGCTCTGCAAAGAAGTGTACACTCAGACCCCCCCCCAGTTTGATGCAGCCAGTGTTGCATTGTAAATAAACACCCTTTGCTTCACCTATTACATCGTTCTGAGATTCTATTTGAGATATTTCTCACAATCCCATGTGACATGGCCCACCACAGACTGCAGGCAACAAGTGAAGTTTTCTGCCATCCCATTGCAAGCTACAGACCAGTATCTGCATAACACAGGGCACTCTGGGGACCAGCAGTATATAGTTATTTAGAGGTAGTAACTCCTCCAGTGGTGCATATAGGTATATAACTTTTGGAGAAGTCTGTGTGTCTATACAGACATTTAGGGCAGAAAGAAGATAGCAAAATGGTTGTTACAGAGAGCAGCCAGAACGTCCGATACTCCAAGTCAATTATCCCTCCCCCAGTATCAGCTTGTTGCAGTTTAGACCCAGCCAGGAGCTGGGCACCATGTGGCCGCCCACTCACCCCCTGAACTGGAAGGAGAGAAAAGGAGAAAAATACAAATCCCCGTGGGTTGTGATAAGGAGAATTTAATACAACACAGAACAAACAGTAAACAACAGTAATAACAATATATATAACAAATGGTACAAAGGAAAGAGATGACCACATGAGCTCCGAACAGCAATCGTGGCTAGAACACCCGTGAACCCCGGGCCCTGGCCTGCTCAGCCCCAGCCCATACGCAGAGCCTGGCTCTCCTGCCGTGGGCATGACGTCAGCATGGTATCAAATAACATACCGGCTGGGTCGATTGTCTACTCCAGCTGTAGCTCCCTCCCTCCCAGCTTCTGGTAAAAATCAACCCTATCCTAGCCGCACCAGGACACAGCTGTTGCAGTAAGGAGGCATGGGGGACTCTCTACCAGTGGAATCAATCTGGGCTTTAGACATTTGGGAAGGAAATTCTAGGGAAGACGGGGTTGCAAGGGTAATTGCTTTCCAGTGGAGTTATTACTTGAGAGCCTTTCATCTTGTGCTTCAGGTGGGCTCATGTCCCCACTTCACTCTCACCCAGGCTCAGCAGAAGTCTGGATGGAGGCAGACACACTGGGTGTGACAACAGAGTATCATTTCTCTTCTACCAAATTCACAAGCTGTTGTTGAAAAGGGGAGATGAAACAGAAAAAAAAAAAAAAAGTCCAATGGTGCTTACCAAACCAAAGCCCTGTTACAAATACCATGTACCTTCTCAATTTACATTGGACCTTAAATTATCTAAAGGTTAGTTTCATTGGTTAGACACAGCCAAATTGTTCCTTTAATTATACAGATACAGACCTTGTGTCTATATGCATAAAGATCTAAAAAATTGGTTATACAACTTAGCAAGCAGGCCTGTCCTCTCTGTGTTATCAAAAAGCAAGCTTCTTATCAGAAGCCAGGTATAAATACAATAGCCAACTTTTACTTTCATTATTAACATTGGTCCACATTCTTTTCTCTGCACAATCTCATCACATATTACTTGCATCGCAGAAAAGACAAAATATCACTAAAAAAAAAATAAAGCAAGTTACATTAATCAAATCGTTTGAAATGTTGAGATCCATGTTTGTTTTGCAACATTTTATCAAAGGCATGCTATGATTAAACACAAGAATCAATTTGAATGAGACTAAATAAAAGCACAAATCTCAGGAAGTAATTCTGCATTTGGAGAAGACTGAATAGAAAAGTCTGATTTTAAGATCTACAGGAATACCAAGAGCATTAAGGAATTTCTACAAGTTTTCCTGAGTTAAGGCTTTGAAAATAGTTTTTCAGAAGTATGGAGGCACCTCTAATCTCAAGGTAATAATTGAGAATTAGAAGTCCTTAGCATCCTTAAACATAGAGCTAGACAAGTATTTTCTAAACAAATGTAACTTTACAGTAATGAGCTATTATTCTTATTAAAATGAGATTGATTCTTGCCACTGGGATCTGGCACTAGTTGCCAGTCACTCAATTGTTTCTAATTTATTGGATGAAGCACATAATGCAATATTTCATGGCTGGTATTGTTTCATTTTCTAATATTGATGAAAATATTTATAATCCTACTGTTCAATCCACATTTTAGCACTCATGTCTATGGCTTTTACTTTTAATAGAGCATTTTGTGTCATGTCAGAATTTCATTTAAAAAAAAAAAAAAAAACAAAAAAAAAACCAGGAACCCGATACCATATAGACAAGTCTTCTCCATATTTCTGTTCAAAATACTAATTTTCCAAAATGATTATTTATAAAAGAAGAGTCTGCTTGTAGTTTTCTTCCAGCTCATGTTTACCAGAGATTCTAATGAGCTTTTCCTAATTTAAAACATCCATTTTAGAGTGTCCTGCTGCCTCCATGTAGAATCTGTTTCCTCCCTCACCCCCCCAAATTTAATGAAAAATAAAAATAAAGATCAGTAGTTGACAATTTTGAGCAAAAATATAAAGCACTATAACATTACCTACATTGTCTTTTGCTGAACTAGGTTCTTGGACACTCTAAGAACACTCTAGCTTTGTGGAAATTTAACCAGTCAGTGTTGAAAAGGCACAGTATTTTTGTGCTCTGAGACCTCTAGCAACAATGTTTTTTCACCAGCCTGAAAGTTAGGAACTGCTGTTAGGAAACAGCAAACAGTCTGCCCAGAAAATTCGCCAGTACCTGACTGGCCACTTACATTAGAACCCACCAAATTTTATTGATTCTTCTGCCACATACACCCTGCAAATCTATAACAAGAGTTTGCTTTTATGGCAAGAGGAAAAGAGGTAAAGTTACTCTTATACCCAGGGATGGTGTAATAGTGATGCAAGCTATTCATTATTAAAATCCTCACAAAGCTGTCCATCTCTGTGGTAGTTTCTGTTCCATGGTATTACATGAATGGGAAAGTTATTTTTCACATATGAGAGAAGCTGTCATACATGAAGAAAACTAACCTTGGTCCACTTGTCCAGCTTCCTAAGGACAGCATATTGGAAAGATAACCACTGATCATTAAAAAAAAAAAGCAATGTAAAAGTTAACAAAAATAATTGAGCATTTAATTCCTAAACCTGCACAGTGTGGTTATTTGTCCTACTCATCCACCTTTTCATTCTGCATCCACTAATTGTCGAGTCTTTAAGTCTTCAGCTTGTTCATGATCTTCCTTATCTACATCATCTACTTGATTAGTTTCCTTTTTTTCTGCTTCTCCTTGATCAACACTTTCATATTCTACTTGTTCCAGGTCTGTTCCATCTATAAGTTCTGCCTGTACTTCTTCCATCTTTGTTTGATTTACATGCTCAATATGTAACTGCTTCACATGAACTTCAGCACCTTGTTCAGCCTGAATGTGTTCAACTTCCAAGTAACTAATTTCCACCTGTTCTTGTAGTTCCTCCATCTGTGTGCTTTTCACTTCATTGTCCTGTATGAGATCCTGATGCAGCTGTTCCACAGTTACCTGTGCAGGATCCACTTGTACCTGAATTACTGGTAGGACATGGACTTGCTCCACTTGTTCTATTATAGTCATTGATGTTACTGGTTCAGTTTCCACAACTTCCACTGGTGGAAGAACCTCTTCAGTCACTATTTGTTCTGAAATATTATGCATGTCTTTGAGATGCCTTCTCAGCTCACTGCGTTGCATAAACCACAAATCACATAAGGTACAGTGGTTGGGTTTGTCACCGGTGTGTATTACCAAGTGATCTTTAAATTGGTCCCAGCTGTTAAACACACTGTTACAAACCTGAAACAAGATACAGTATGTTAAACACTGCCAAAAGAAATATGACAAAGTATAGTGCCTATTCCAGATGGTGGCTTCACATAGTGTAGCTTCTTGCTGCTTGGATTAAAAAAAACCAACCCAACAAACATGTACATGCACCAGAAGTACTCATCAAGCAAGGGCAATTTTGTTTTCTGTTCTTTGTTCAGTGAGCCAAGATTTTATTTATTCAACACTATTCAAATTTAGTTCTAAAGAGAAAAAAAATTAAGAAAAATGTATCCAAGTATTGATGTAGTTTCTGCAGGCTGAAATAATACTAACCCACATTCACAATATATGTAACAGAGAAAGCTGTGATGAGGTAAAGCAATTAAACCAAAGGGTCACAACGACAAAACAGTATCTTCAATGAAGCAACTAGGTACAATTCTGTTATACAGTAGTGCTCATGTTCAGAACAAATTTATCTTTAAGACAAAGGTATGCTCCCAAGAATTAACTTCAGACTAGGATAACAACTAAACAGTGCAACAGCACTGGTGAAACTTTTAATTAAATTATTTGATTAGCAACACATGGAATTCATTCATCTCCTGCAGTATTTGCTGCTTTCTGCAGATAATATCACTCTGTTTTTTGAACAAATAAAGTCAATATCCAGCAGTTTTCTTTAATACACAACCCAATTTAACCTCAAACCACAACCATTCTGTGAAGTGAATAAGGAGAGAGCCTTAGGAGTATGGAGAGGGGGAAGTGTGTCCTTACTTGAGATTGTCACAGCAGTGGAAGAGTAAAACAGCAAATAAAAATGCTACAAACAAACTCAGCTCTCATATTCTCTAGGTTTTCAGAATCAAATTTTAAAAGCTAAGTAACATTGTTCTGAACAAGTGTGATGGTTTAGGCCCAGGCAGGAGCCGGGCACCACATGGCCACACGCTCACCCCCCACTCCCCACACAGGAGGGAGAAAAGGGAGAAAAACACAAACCCCCGTGGGTTGAGATAAGGAGAATTTAATACAACAACACAGAAGGAACAGTAAACAACAGCAGTAACAATAGGTAGAACAACATATAACAAAGGGTACAAAGGAAAGAGATCACCGCAGGGGCTCTGGACAGCAACCGCGACTCTCACCCCCCGGCCCCAGAAACCGCCCTGGCCTCAGACCGGCAGTCCCTAGCCCACCCGGCCCCGCTGCTATGGGCATGATGTCAGCATGGAAGGAAATAACCCCCTGGCTGGTCCAGCTGTCTGCCCCAGCTAGAGCTCCCCCACCGGCGGGGGAAAACCAACCCTACCCCAGCCGAACCAGGACAGTAGCTTTTCAAATATCAGCTATGAATAGTGACCAAGTACCGTAGCTTTCCATCTACAGCATTTTTATTTGTTTAAAAAGACGTTACAGATCATCATCATTAGATAGATTGACTTTCCAGACAAATTCAATATATTGCTATTAAACAGAAGAAAAATAAAATAGGCAATAAAATAGTATTTTGTAGTTTGAACTTTAGTGAAGCGTGCTCACAAGCATGAAAGGACTATGTCAGTGCATCAAGAACCTTGAAAAGGTAAGCAGAAAAATCAGTAAGATGTAGATAAACACCATACCCACAAGAATCTCTCTTATTAACAAAGAATTACGAATGCATGGAGCATGGGGAGCAAACAAGAGGAGTTAGAGATGTGTGAACACCTACAGTGCTATGATGTTATTGGCATCACTGAGACATGGTGGGATGGCTCCTATGATGAGTGTGAGAACAGAGGGATACAGTCTCTTTAGGAAAGGCAGGCAGGGGAGAAGAGAAGGGGTTGTTGCCCTTTATGTCAATGATCAGCTGGAATCCATGGAGCTTGACCTGGGGATGGATGAGGAGCTGACCAAGATCTTATGGGTCAGAGTTAAAGGGAAGGCAAGGAAATGTGATATCCTAGTGGGGGTCTGCTACAGGACACCTGACCAGGAAGGCTCAGCAGATGAGGCCCTCTATAGACAGATAGGAGCAGCTTCACATTGACAGGCCCTGGTCCTCATGGCGTGTTTCAACCACCTTGATATCAATTGGATGAGCAGCACAGCAGGGCACCAGCAATCCAAGAAGTTCTTAGAATGCATTGATGACAACGTCTTTCTCCAAGCACTAGAGGAACCAATGAGAAAAGCTGTTATGCTGGACCTTGTTCTCACCAATAAGGAGGGGCTGGTAGCTAACGTAAAGGTCAAGGGTAGCCTTGGCTGCAGTGACCATAAAATGGTGGAATTCCAGATCCTTAGGGCAACAAGGAGGGTGTGCAGCAAGCTCACTACCCTGGACTTGAGGAGAGCTGACTTTGGCCTCTTCAGTAGTACCATGGGATAAAGCCCTGGAGGGGAGAGGGGCCCAAGGAAGCTGGTCAGTATTCATGGACCACCTCCTCCAAGCCCAGGAGCAATGTGTCCCAAAAATGAGGAAGGCAGACAAGAATACTAGGAGGCCTGCAGAGATGAACACGGAACTCCTGGACACACTTAGATGCAAAAGGAGTCTACAGAGACTGAAAGCAAGGACAGGTACCTGGGGAGGAATACAAAGAAGTTGTCCAACCATCCAGGGATCAGGTTAGGAAAGCTAAAGCCCAGCTAGAATTAAATCTGGCCAAGGACATCAAGGATAACAAGAAAAACTTCTACACGACAGTGATAAAAGGAAGGATAGGAAAGATGTTGGCCCTCTCCATAAGGAAATGGGAGACCTGGTCACAAGGGATAGGGAGAAGGCTGAGGTACTCAGTGATGACTTTGCCTCAGTCTTCACCAGTGTGGCTCTAGCCACACCGCCCAAATTGCAGAAGGCAAAGGCAGGGAAGGGGAGAAGGAAGATCTGCCCACTGTAAGTGAAGACAAGGTTTGAGATCATCTAAAGAACTCGAAGATGTACAGGTCCATAGGATCCAACAAGATCCATCCATGGATCCTGAAGTAAATTTCTGTTCTGCCAATGACCAGGCCCAACAAAAATGATACCACCACCAGCAGGAAGATGAACAGATGAACCAATACACAGACTCTATTGTATACAAGAAGGACATTCCATGAATGATCGCTGGGGGTACAAACAGATCAATCAGCTGGTACATAACTGACGCTACCCCCAACAATCCCACAAAGGATGTAACTCAGCCCACAACACGTGGTACAGAGACCCGAGGTTGCCCACAGTTGGGATGGGAAACAGCAAGACCAGCAAATTAAACACACAAGAGAAAGGTGATTACATAGTGACTCTCACCCAATCAGCCCACATTCGCAAAGGTCTTAATCAGACTGGGGCCCAGCTCCAGGGAGAGTCAGGAGGACTTCCCT